GATGCTTTAAGGCTGACTCATCATACTTTCACTAACGTAGCTACTTTGGCTTCCGCTATCAATTATGCAGCGAATAATTTTCTCGCGACCTTGACACCGAATTCGAACGCAAAGCGTTTGCAAAAATACAGTTTCGCTTCTGCCACAGTTAGAAAGAGAACTCTCTTTTGAAACACGTATCTGATCATTATTTTTTAGCTTTTGATTACACATTACATCAAAAGATTACAACTTTTGTTGTAAGGAACTTAAGTTTTACTAACGTTTATTTTATTTTAAATCTTTACTATCACTTCTTATTTTCTACTTCCGGCCAGAATTATAAGCGTTAAGGATTTTATGCAAAGTTTGTCTGGCGAACGCCAAGTATTTAAGTGTGGCGTTTTTGCCGAGCGAAAGAGAGGAAGCAGTGAGTTCGAAGCAGGCCGCTTACCTTAGAAGTTACGCAGTTGCTATTTGCCTTCCAGGCCAGAGGTTTTAATCCTCTTAATAAATTAAACGTATTGTAGTGTTCACAGTCTCTGTGCTACATACGCTTCCTGTTATTATAAGGCCAATCTTCCACGTGTGTTATTTCTAAAGTTAAATTAGATTTTAGTTTTATTTTTTATACCTTTTACGTTAGACCCCGAGTGGAGGGTCATTGTATTCCGAAGTACGGAAGTCATTGTATATAAAGAAAAATAAAGGGTTTTGTATACCCTTCGTCTGTATCCTGTCTACTTACTACAATTAGTGAACATAGCTTTAGTAAGCTCTCTGTTCCTAGTCAGGTCATTGTATGTTTCCGAAGAAGGTTAGAAGAAAACATTGAACCTGATAGTGGCGCCCTACGAAGAATAACCATGGCCGAATTTCAAGAAGAACCTGTGCTGCCTGCAGAAACGGCGCTCAGAATCCAGAAATGCCAGCTGCCGCCCTGGAAGGATTTGGGTACATCGTCCAGACCATGCGCGCTTCGATGAAACCAGAAGCAACGTTTAATGGAAACTCACCGGTAACCAGTTTTTTGGGAAAATTGGATGACCACTTCATGCTCTACCCCGTGCACGAGTTTCAAAAAAAGTTACCTTAGCTACCAGCGCTTTGAGGGGCCAAGCGCTTAACTGGTTCAAATGTATCGGCAGAAGAAGTCTCTTGGGTCAAGCAGAAGTCCCACCTATACTTATGAAAAATTTCAAGACTGCCCTACTAAAAGCCTTCCCTGTTGTAAGGGATCGTGCGAAATTAGAAACGGAACTTTTTAGCATATATCAACAAAGAATCGAAAACCTGTCGAGCTTTATTTTAAGAAAAATTCACGTTTTCAAGCTCTTGTATGGAAACCGTCCGGATCCTGAAATAATTCAAGTGATTTTGCCGAGGTTACTACCCCAAGTGCAAGACTTTATTGAATTAAGAAATCCCACTACACTGGAAAAGTTATTTGAGCTAGCAATCCAGTTTGAAAGTAGAAGAACGGCGGACGTCGAAAGAAGACGCCAATATCAACAGCGAAACCAATTTGGTACGCCAAGACTACAACAAACTCAAGCATACGGCTACGGAGAGCAAAAAGCGAATCAGTGGGCAAGGAAACCCGAGCATTCAAAACAGCCGGCGAACGTCGACAGTTCAATAGCAACCCAGGAAAAAAGTCTTCAAGGCCAGGGAAAAAGAAGGAAAGGAAAGCACGGAAAGGAAAAATAATTTAAACTAAAACGGATTTCTGCTGACGAGAGGGTGCGGAAATCCGAAGGCCACGAAACCCCCTCTTCCTTCAAGTTAAATACAGTAATGGTGAAAAATTTGACTCTTCCGAAGATTGAAGTGTTGGTAAATAATATCCCGGCCACCGCACTCCTGGATACCGGCGCGCAGTGTTCCTGTGTGGCAGAAGTCTTTTTTAGAAAGTATTTTCGCAAATACCGCATATATAATTGCGGATAATACGACAGTATTAGCGGGCGCAAGGAAAAGAATGTAAGTGCGTAGGTAAAGTACCTTTATATATCCGTATCAAGGACGAACAAGTAAAGGTGATGTTTTTTATAGTAAAGAATTTGCAAGCACATTTAATCCTAGGAATAGACTTTCTTTCAGACGCACAAGCTACACTGGATTTTAATGAAGCGTCCCTTAGGCTGACAATGAAACCAGTGCGTGTAGAGAAAAGGTTGAACCGCCAAGGTTAAATCTTGACCACCTGCCTAATGACGAGCAAGATAGAATCCGACAAGTGGTAAGTGAATTTGCTTCCTTATTTAGTGATATTCCAGGATTTACTCAGGTTACTAACCATAGTATTGACACCGGAGATGCATTGCCGGTTCGTCAAAAACCATACCGGTATGATAAGAATAAGGAAAAAATTATAGAATTGCATATTACCGATATGCTACGTAAAAAGATCATAACGCCCATCTCAAGTAGTTATCCTAGCCCGGTGGTTTTATGTAAGAAAAATAATGATTATCCTTTGGAGCATCCAAAAAGGTGGAGATTGGCTATTGATTACCGTAAATTAAATTCCATAACGAAATATCCGGTATATCCGTTACCGATCATAGAAGAAATTTTAAGGAACATAAAATCAACCAAATTTATGACGACTTTAGACTTAACGAATGGTTATTTTCAAATAGGGCTCAGGCCTGAGGACGTGCCTAAGACTGCTTTTATAACCAAGTCTGGCACTTATGCATTTTTGCGAATGCCGTTTGGCCTTTCTGGGGCCCCAGCAACATTTCAGCGATGCATGGACATTGTGTTAAGACCTGTTCTTGGAAAGTCCACATTTATCTATTTAGACGATATCATTATTACTAGTGATAATCTCGACCAACATGTACAGGATTTAAGACAGGTGTTTTCTTTATTAAATGAGGCCGGTCTAAAAGTTAATGTCGAAAAGTGCAAATTTGCAGCCCTGAATTAAAATATTTAGGTTACAAAATATCTCAGAAAGGAATCGAGACAGACGAATCAAAAATAATCGCTGTACAAAAGTATCCGACTCCAAACACGGCAAAGAAGCTCTCTTCTTTTCTAGGACTTTGTTCATATTATAGGTCCTTTATAAAAGATTTTGCAGCTATCGCTGAACCATTGTTAAAATTAAAAAGGAAAAAGGCAAGATTCTCGTGGACGGCCGAAGCCAATAGTGCTTTCGAAAAATTAAAACAAGCATTAACGCAAGCCCCTGTGTTGAAATTTCCTGAAAAGGATGAAAATTTAGAAATTTCAGCGGATGCTTCGGATTATGCGGTAGGAGCGGTACTTTCGCAAAATCAGCAGCCCGTGGCATTTTTTAGCCGAACTTTAAATCAAACACAAAGAAACTATTCCGCGACCGAGAGAGAGGCACTTGCAGTTCTGTTAGCAGTGCAAAAGTTCCGAGTCTATTTTGGAAAGGCGCCGAATAACAGTATATTCTGATCATGCGGCGGTAACTAGATTGTACTCAGGGAAAAATTATCCCCAAGGTTAATAAGATGGGCACTCAAGCTGCAAGAATATAATCTGGTAATCAAGCATACCCCCGGAAAGGAAAATATCGTAGCAGATGCCCTATCCACGAATTAAATTAGACGAAAAGGGTAATACCGTAAAGGTTGCAATGCTTACAGCGTGTACAATAAATTCCCGAGAAACTGTAATAACAGAACTGGGTAAGGATCCTGAGTTTGGAAGTATTTATGAGTATTTGAAAGGATCCTGAAAATTTTAGCCACCAAGATATTGTGGCGATAAGAAATATGGGCGGCCCATTACGAACTAATAGATGGTCTATTATTCTATACAAAAACTACGAATTCCAACAACGAATTTCGACCTGTTATCCCAGCTAGTTAAATTAAATTAGCTTAGATTAAATATCCTGCAGGAGCTTGACCATGACAGCCCTTTAGCTTCTCATGCTGGTATTCGAAAAACTATCCAACGCGTACGCGAGGCAGTCTACTTTCCTGAACTGCAAAAGTTAACAAGGGCGTATGTCCAGTCCTGCCCAACATGTCAAGCCGTTAATTATATTAATTTCCGCCCGGCCGGGTTTCTAAATAGTATTAAATCCGAATTTCCAAATGAAATAATTGGCATCGATTTATTGGGCCCTTTATTATGGAGGCACCTAATAGGTGGGCCACCATCGCCTTTCCTATGAAGGTACGGACAGTCACAACCATGCCTTCTCCGGGATTCGGACCCAGACCCTTCGGCACTGCGGTCAGCTTCCCTAACCACTATACCGACTGGGCGGCGTTTAAGCCACAGCATATCCACCATAATCTCAGGGTAGACACAGTTCAAAATTATATTAAAAAATTTACCAGAAATTTCTTCTACTCAGTTCTCACCTATCCTAGAAACTGCATCAACTATCTTAGATATTCTCCATTTCCCAGAAAAAAACACAAATATTCATAACATTTTTTACTTACCCTAGACTTTTCAGTTCGTTGATTTTGACCAGAAACTTGCGTTCTTCGTCGACTGATGGCTTCCCCACGACTTAATACTTTCGTCATATTTTGTGCACACTACTCTTATTTGTTTTACTGGTGGTCTTCACCAGATGCAGAGCAAAAGGATGCACTGATTTCTGAAACTGTGATTCACTATATGTTCTTAATAGTAGATCTTAACACCTGCGATTTACTCGAAAGCGCGCCGGAGAAAAGTAAGTGGGGAACCCGACTTCTATTTGGCAGTTGAAACTATAGCTACTAGAAATTGTCGATGTGACGTCCAAAATTCAAAAAGTGGAGTAGGGTTTGGAAAAATGCAACCGGATATTAATTTCGGGTAAACACGGCTTAATCTAGCAAAGTAGACAGCTTTCCAACATTCGTTTCGACGAAGTATTGTGGTATTTTTTCTGATACGAGCGAATATATTTTCCGAAGTTTAAAAAATCATGTGATCTAGAAGTTTTCTCCATATGATAAACTAACATCGAGCCACTTGATATGGTTAAGTCTAATGACAGATTTGAAGCAGTGCGGGGATATCTAAACAATGTATTGGGTTTGTTTATCTCGAAGGTGTTCTGTAGAAATGAAATTTTGCAGACGACATCGAAATGTACTAGCCGTAATTTATAGCACTCCTCTTCTCAATATACATTCCAGTTTATTTTAAACGGATGCTATGCATAAGAATAACTGAAAGATGAACCCATTTAATGGTGAAGAGCAAAATATGGTAATCGAAGGACAAACTGTCAGATTACCTACTTTAGATGGGGGATATGAAACTCTTTCTCCTAGCATAACTTTTCGGAAACCGTGGTAAGTATACTTACTGAGGATTTTCCTATTTTTTAGTCTGATTTAACAAAAGGGCCGAGAAATTCAAATATCCGAAAGAGTTCAAAAATTGGCCAAAGAAATGCACGTGACATAATAATAATCGGCATAATGTTGCGAACTGTAAGAGTGAGGTTACGTTAAGTTATTAGAATATTTCAAAGTTAACTAGAGCTATCAGCCTAACGGAAGGGTACCTTCGCGGTGGTCTTTTTCGGGAAACTGGCTTTTTTTCACGTTAAACATGAGAAATACCACAGAAAAAAAACAGGCAGCTAGCCCATTCGCCTGGGCCCGAACCCGGGTCGAATTACTAGTATCCAGCGGTCTTAACTACTCGACAGTGATGAAGCTGCCCCTGAAAATTCTTTATCAATTTAACTGCACTTTGATTATCTGTATTTAAATTGATTATAACAATTGGTTAGTTAATGCTTCCAAAAAAGTTTTTAAACATAAAAGTTCTTTAATACAGTCTGCTGCCACTAAGTACGTGGTTTCTGCACTTAACAAAATAACTTTTGGTTGTTTTCTTGCATGGTAACTCACGGGACTTTCTTCACATAAAATCATATATCTAGTAGTGCTTCTATACATTTCTTTATGACCTGCATAATCAACATTACAGAAAACTTCTAATTCAGTTGAAGTAGAACAGTTCTCTTCACACATACAATGAAGACTCAAATTTACAGTACCTTTCAGGTATCTAAGAGTATATATTTCATACTTATTACTTTCATACTTATACAGGTAACATATTTCATACTTAGATTTTCTACAAATCTAACTATGAAATATGTTGAATACTAGTAGCAAGAGTTTAACAATACTAGTAGCAAGAGTTTAACCTGGACAAGTTTTGTAAGATGGATATAAAAGGTTACAAATTGCTTCTTCATAAAGGAAATTAACTTTTACTTTTTCATTAGACATTGTTGATTTTAATCCTGTTGGAATGTCAGAAACATTGTTAATTCTAGTCCTGTTGGAGTATCTGTTTCATTACATTCAAACATTTCAGAATTCTGAAGAACTTGTAATGAATATATCCACAGTTTCAGTGTTATTCCTTCATCTCTTTCCATTTTCATTCAGCAAAAATTAATTGGATGATCATCTACTTTTACCTCAATTTCATTTGACATTTCTTCTGAAAATTTCTTCATTTATGCTTTGTCTGTTCCAATCACAATGTCATCATCAACAAATATTGCTAAAATCATCTAGAAATCATTTGTTTTAAACACACATCTATCACATTTGGTTTGAATAAAAGCTTTTCTGTTATGAAATTTTATAAAGCTATTATTCTAATTGAAAGGAGCATTTTTTAGTCCATAAAGAGATTTCTGTAATTTTTATATTTTATTTTGATAATCAGAGCCTTCTGGAACTTTCATGTAAATATCTTCTTTTATGTCTCCTTACAGAAAACCAGTTTTTATATTAAATTTTATCATTTCAAGCTGGTTCTTAGCCACTAGTGCAAATAAAATGCTTAATGCTGCATTGCTTACAACAGGACTGCATGTTTCTTGAAAATCAATTCCTTCTTCTTGTTGAAATCTTCTTGCTACAAGTCTAGCCTTAAAACTTCCTTTGACAAAAATCTATTTGCTGCTGAAAATTTTCTTACTTTTCTGCATCACTTTCATTCATCATTCATTTTTCTAAGTTTTGTTTTCAGTGAAAGACTTTTTCTAATCTTCTGTATCTTTTAAACATATTTCTTTACCTTCTCCTGATATTGCTTGCTATCATGAAAACAATACAAAATCTCTGCATTTTGCTAGCAATTTTCTGCTTCTTGTAGGTTTGTTCTTCATTTTCAGGTTCATGCTTTACATTTTTATATTCATTTTCATTATCAGCTTCTAAATCATCATCTTTCTGGTGGAAATGATTTTATCTTGATTATTTTCTAAATCTTCATTCTGGTTTCCTTCACACAAAATTCCTTTTGTATCTATACTTTTGTGTTTTCCATGTATTGAATTTAAATTTTCATCAGATGCAACATCTCTGAATATTTTTCTTGCATTTCTCTCCCACACTCTATCGCCATTTATTCCATATACAACACAATGTAAGGTCTACTGGAAAGTTCTGTTTGATAATGTTATTTCAAGGTTCGATATGTATGTGTTCATTTGAGACATATACAATGTCTCTCTTTATCATTGCATTTATGTGTATGTGCTGTTCTAAATTAACTGAAAAAAAAGTGTCTCACATCATTATTAAATTAGACATGATCCTTTAAACATAGCTACCAATGAAGTTCATTTATGATACTTATATATTATACAAATTCCAACGAGGAAGAAATGCTATAGAAATGTATCAAAATTTAGTGAACATTTTTGATAGAAATGCAGTTTCAGATAGAATGTCCAGGAGAAGGCTTGAAAAATTTGAAGCTCGTGATTTCGACCTTAATTCTAAGCTAACTCTGGGCGACCATCTTTGTTCTATGGCGATATTCTCAAGACCAGATAGAAAGGGATTAATTTTTGACAGCATTAGAGATTGTGGGAAAGCTTAACTCAGCTCAACAGACAGTTTTGAACCATATTTATAAACTAAGATTGGTTTATAAATATTTCAAACGGGTTCTTCATGAATTAATTAAGAAAAATTTGCATGATCAAGTCATCACACGTACACCTCTGCTGGCTTGGAACAAAGAATACTGTGTATCTAAGAGAATGCTCTGTATATGGTGGGATTTTCAAGGACAAACTTTTGAAACCTAAAGAAATGATAAATTCAGAGAAATACTGCCAACAAATGGATGATTTAAACAAAGCAGTCGATGAAAAAATGCTGGTGATGTTCAATAGGAAGCACATCATAACTGCATCATGATAATGCCAGACCACATGTTGCTTTAGTGGTTCATCAGAATATCACAGAATCAAGTTGGGAAATTCTGCCACATCCATTATATTCCTCAGACCTAACACCCTCCAATTATCACTTGCTTTTCTGTTTGCAAAATATTTTGAAAGGGAAAAATTCAAAACTGAAGTAAATATCAACCAAGCACTACTTGAGTTCTTCACCTCTAAGGACGGCATTTTGCAAAAATGGTGTTTTCAAAATACCATTCTGCTGGCAAGAAGTATAAGTAGCAACAGAAATTATATTGCACAATAAATATTATTAATGATATGAAACATGTATTTTTTTTATTTTACTTCCCAACTGGACTGTATTTTCCAATAGATCTTATATATACTTTTCACTTTGTGAAACGAACTTTTTAATTGGTTTATTTAGTCAAGCATGTGCATTTCTTCCAAAAATTTTTAATCTTGTCAAACTAGGTTTTTGTTCATGCAATTTGTATTCTGGTATGCTAACTGCTTCTATTGGGCTATGGCTTAACAAATAAGCTGCACTTCAAAGAGCTTCTCACATTTCTCTTTCTAATTTGGAATATTTGAGCAAGACTCCTATTTTTTTTTAGTACTATTCAATTCGATCTTTCTGCACTTCCATGTAATTGTGGTGAAAAAGGAACAGTATAATCTGAAATAATTCCTATGATTTTGCACCAAATTCTTAAATTTTCACTTGTTTATTCTCCTCTATCTGTTGCCAGTTACATTCCACATAAATATTATTGAAATGAAAATAAACTCTCAACATTTTTGTAACTGTGGCCTACTGTTGAGCTGAGCTGAGCTTTTATTCTGTTGTGTAAAATCTTAATTTTTGAATTGGCTGTGTGGCTTAAATAACCATGTTTTTCATTGTTTACGAATCTTGTGGCTCATTTTAATTGATGGGATTCCCAGAAATCACCAGAGCAAATAATTTACCCTTCCCTTTCCAAGTACACAACAATCTGCTTTCACCTTAAACAAAAACAAAAACAAAAAAAAAAAAAAAAAAGAGAATTGTGCAAATTTGATGTAACCCAGCATTACACACATTAAACATTATACTACTATATACTTTAGTATATATAATGATACATTAGTGATATGTGATACTGTTATTACTTGTACAGTCAAAAGTCGTTAATTCGGACACCCATAATCCGGACCTCAAAGCTACAAACTTTCTGCGCATGCGTCGCGTTGACGCATGCGCGTAAGACCTTTACCGCTGCGAATTTGCGTGTGCGCGTGCGCAAAATACGTTTACGAATGCGCGTTTAATGTATAATGGACGGGATAAGCTAAGCTAAAATTATCTAATTATCTATTTCAGTTAATGTTGCAGATTGCGTTGTTCCTTAATCTTCGAATTGGATCCGGATTATTATTTTTTGCAGACTGTTAGAGCAATTTTATAAAAGTAAGCTTGAACTTTCGATTATGTCAAATAGAATTTCCGGTATATATTTACTAATATGTAAAGGATATACAAAGCGAAAGTATCTTTCGGAGTCCATTAAACAAAAAGTGGAATTGCTGCAAAAAATGGATAAAATCATATCCTTTGTTTATCTAAACTTTAACGTTTGTTTATCTAAATTTTAACGTTTGTTTATCTAAACTTTGTTTATCTTTAACGCCGCGGCGGCGTGCATTGAATTGGAAGTTGATCTGTCAGCACTATCCTTATCTTAACGGCAGATGTTTTTATTTTATTTGGCTTATAATTGCTTACTCAATGTAGTATTTCATCTCGTCTTTGATATGATTTAAATCAAATGCCTCGTCATTATAATTCGCTTCCGATAGCGAAGAAAGTAACAGAGGTTATTGAAAACGAAAAAATTTCGATTGACAAATTAGTCGGTATTCTCGACACAGCAATTATAGGACTTGAACAGCGGAACTTTGTAACTGAACAAGAAATTATGTCTGTTTATAGAATTAAAGAGAATGTATTATCACATAAAAAACGAAGCAACTTAAACAACTTACATTGAAAGAAATGTTTAATAAAGTAAACAAATAAATATTAAGCTTTTTCTTTGTAAATTTTGATACCCTTTAGATCATAATTGTTCTTTATTTCGT